CTCAGAGCCTCAGGGACGCATGGCTTGCAGAGTTTGAGCACTTGCGCCAGGCTACTATGACTGTTTCGGAGTATGCTATCCGTTTCACTAACTTGGCTAGGCATGCACCGGCCTTGGTTTCTACAGTTCGTGAGAGAGTTTGCCAGTTTATTGAGGGGCTCATTCCAGCATCAGGTCTAGCATGGCTCGGGAGTTAGAGATAGATATTTCTTATCAGCAGGTGGTGAGCATTGCTAGGAGAGTAGGGGGTATGCATGCTCAGAATAGAGAGGAGAGGGAGGCCAAGAGGTCTCGAGAGTCGGGTCATTATTCTGGTGCCCGTGCCCCAGGTGCAGTTCGTCATGGTAGGGGTTATATGAGTCGCCCCGTTCATTCAGCTCTTCCAGCAGCCAGTGGTATTCCAGCTCCTCCTAGACCTCAGGAGCCTTATTATGCACCTCCAGTATCTAGTGCGCCTCCTACACGGGGTGCTTTAAGTGGTCAGTCCATTAGACCTGGCCCGAGCCAGTCACAGCCGCCACGTCCTCCCAAAGCTTATTTTGAGTGTGGCGACACATGCCATATGGTGAGAGATTACCCCAGACTTAGGAAGGTTGCACCTCCACAGACTTCTCAGCCACAGCGTGATCCGTAGAGTTCCTAGGCTGTGATCACATCACCATTTGTTGCCCCACCTGCCCAGCCAGCTAGAGGTGGAGGTCGGGGAGGTAGAGGTCTCCCTAGAGGGGGAGGCCAGGCTAGATATTATGCCCTTCCTGCCCGTACTGAGGTTGTCGCCTCCGATTCTACCATCACAGGTATTGTCCTGGTTTGTCATAGAGATGCATCGGTTTTATTAGATCCAGGCTCCACTTATTCTTATGTGTCCTCTTATTTTGCCCCGCATTTGGGCGTATCTCAGGATTCTTTGAGTTCCCCTGTTTATGTTTCTACTCATGTGGGAGATTCTCTTGTTGTGGACCGCATTTATCGGTCGTGTTTGATTGCTCTTACTGGTTTTAGACCAGAGCCGATTTATTATTGCTCAGCATGGTAGATTATGATGTTATCTTATGCATGGACTGGTTGTTGCCCCATTACGCTATTCTTGATTGTCACGCCAAAACCGTGACGCTGGCTATGCTAGGTGTACCACGAGTAGAGTGGAGGGGTACTTTAGAACACACTCCCACTAGAGTTATTTCATTTCTTAAACCTCAACGAATGGTTGAGAAGTGGTGTGACGCGTATCTAGCTTATGTGAGAGATGTCAATATTGATAGCCCTACAGTTGATTCAGTCCCAGTAGTACAGGATTTCCCTGATGTGTTTCCAGCTGATCTTCCGGGTATGCCACCCGACAGAGATATTGATTTTGGCATTGATTTATTGGCGGGCACGTAGTCCATCTCTATTCCTCCTTACCGTATGGCTCCTCTTGAGTTGAAGGAGTTGAAGGAACAGTTACAGGAATTGCTTGATACGGGTTTTATTCAGCCCAGTGTATCACCTTGGGGTGCTCCTGTCTTGTTTGTGAAGAAGAAGGATGGTTCTATGCGTATGTGCATTGATTATCGCCAGTTGAACAAAGTTACAGTGAAGAACCAGTATCCTTTGCCTCGTATTGATGATCTGTTTAACTAGTTACAGGGTGCTCGACTATTTTCTAAAATTGACTTGCGTTCAGGTTATCATCAGTTGAAGATTCGGGAGCCAGATATCTCGAAGACTGCTTTCAGGACTCGGTATGGTTATTACGAGTTCCTTGTTATGTCATTTGGGCAGACCAATGCCCCAGTAGCCTTTATGCATTTGATGTACATCGTATTTCGGCCATATCTTAACTCGTTCGTCATTGTCTTTATTGATGATATTCTGGTATACTCCCGGACTCGGGAAGATCATGAGCAGCACTTGAGGACAGTGCTTCAGACTTTGAGAGAAAAGAAATTATATGTGAAGATCTCGAAATATGAGTTTTGGTTGGATTATGTGGCATTCTTGGGTCACGTAGTATCGAATGAAGGGATCAAGGTGGATCTGAAAAAAGTGGAAGCAGTGCAGAGTTGTCCCAGACCATCCTCAGCTACAGCGATTCGTAGTTTTCTTGGCTTGGCGGGTTATTACCGTCTATTTCTTGAGGGATTTTCATCTATTGCAGCACCTATGACCAGGCTGACCTAGAAGGGTGCTCCATTCAAGTGGACGGAAGAGTGTGAGGAGAGCTTCCAGAAGCTCAAGATAGCTTTGACTACAACCCTAATATTGATATTGCCTATAGGTTCGGGGTCTTATACTATCTATTGTGATGCCTCGAGGATTTGCCTTGGAGCGGTATTGATGCAGGACGGTAGGGTGATTGCCTACGCATCCAGACAGTTGAAAGTACATGAGAAGAATTATTATGTCTATGATCTTGAGTTAGCTACTATTTTTCACGCCTTGAAGATCTGGCGTCATTATTTGTACGGTATTCGTTGTGAGATCTGTACTGTTCACCGGAGTTTGCAGCATCTGTTCAAGCAAAAGGACCTTAATTTGCGCTAGAGGAGGTGGTTAAAGCTGCTGAAGGACTATGATATCACTATCTTATATTACCCAGGCAAGGCCAATGTGGTGGCTGATGCTTTGAGTCACCGGGCGGAGAGTTTGGGGAGTTTGGCTTATCTACCAGCAACGGAGAGGCCCATGGCGATGGATGTTCAGGCCTTAGCCAGCCAGTTTGTGCGATTGGATCTTTCGGAGCCCAGTCGGGTTCTAGCTTACGTGATTTCTCGGTCTTCCTTGTTGGATCGTATAAGAGAGCATCAGTTTGATGACCCTCATTTTCTTGTCCTCAAGGACAAGGTTCTGCATGGTGATGCCAAGATGTGACCATTGGTGATGACGGGGTATTGATGCAGGGTCGGATATGTGTACCCAATATTGATGGGCTTCAGGAGATGATTCTAGAGGAGGCCCACAGTTATTCTATCCACTCGGGTGCCGCAAAGATGTATTGGGATTTGAGATAGCACTATTGGTGGAGGCGGATGAAGAAAGATATAGTTGGGTTTGTAGCTCGGTGCCTCAACTGTCAGCAGGTAAAGTATGAGCACCAAAGACCGGGTGGTTTGCTTCAGCAGATAGAGATTCCGGAGTAGAAGTGGGAGCGGATCACCATGGACTTCGTAGTTGGACTCCCATGGACTTTGAGGAAGTTCGATGCCATTTGGGTGATTGTGGATCGGCTGACCTAGTCCGCGCATTTCATTCCTGTGTGTACTACCTATTCTTCGGAGCGGTTGGCGGAGATTTATATCCGGGAGATTGTTCGTCTACATGGTATTCCAGTTTCCATCATTTCAGATAGAGGTACTTAGTTTACATCACGGTTTTAGAGGGCCGTACAGCATGAGTTGGCTACTCGGGTGGAGTTGAGCACAACATTTCACCCCAGACAGACGGACAGTCCGAGCGCACTATTTAGATTCTTGAGAATATGCTCTGTGTGTGTGATGGAGTTTGGAGGGTCTTGGGATCAGTTCTTGCCACTGGCGGAGTTTGCCTACAACAACAGTTATAAGTCCAGCATTCAGATGGCACCGTATGAGGCTTTGTATGGTAGGCGGTGTAGATACCCGGTGGGTTGGTTCGAGCCGAGCGAGGCTAGATTATTGGGCACGGACTTGGTTCAGGACGCCTTGGAGAAGGTTAAGGTGATTCAGAATAGACTCCGTACAACCCAGTCCAGACAGAAGAGTTATGCGGACCGGAAGGTTTGTGATGTTTCCTATATGGTTGGAGAGCGAGTCTTGCTTCGGGTCTCGCCTATTAAGGGCGTTATGAGATTTGGGAAGAAGGGGAAATTGGGTCCGAGGTTTATTGGTACTTTTGAGGTATTGCGACGTGTTGGGAAGGTTGCTTATGAGCTTGCCTTACCTCCCAGCTTGGCAGGAGTTCATCTGGTCATGTTTTGATGCTCCGGAAGTATCACGATGATCCGTCACACGTGTTAGATTTCAGTTCGGTCAAGTTAGACGAGGATCTATCTTATGTTGAGGAGACAGTGGCGATATTGGACATGCAGGTTCGAAATCTGAGGTCAAAGAACATTGCATCAATGAAGGTTCAGTGGCCGGGTCAGCCGATCGAGGAGGCGACTTAGGAGACCGAGCAGGATATGCGCAACCGTTACCCTCATCTTTACACCACTTCAGGTATGTTTCTATGCTCGTTCGAGGACGAACGAATGTTTTAAGAGGCGGAGGATGTAACGACCCGGCTGGTCATTTTGAGAATTAACGCCCCGATCCCCTATTAACTGCTTTTCTCATGTTTGTTTCTGCTATTGTGAGTTGCCGTGAAGTTTTGTTTGAGTTTCGGAGTGTTTTGGGACACTTAGTCCCTAAATGAGAGCTTAAGCTTTAGAATTTGGACTATTGTCGGAACAGTGCAAAGTCATCCTCGGAATGGAATTCCGTCAATTCCGTTAGCTCCGTTGAGTGATTTTAGGCTTAGGGGCGTGTTCGGATTGTGTTTTGGAGGTCCGTAGCTTATTTAGGCTTGAAATGTCGAAAGTTGAATTTTCGAAGTTTCCTGGTCGATAGTGAAATTTTGATATCGGGGTCGGAATCTGATTCCGAAAGTTGGTATAGTTCCATAGTGTTGAATTTGACTTGTGTGCAAAATTTGGGGTCAATCAGACATGGTTTGGTTGGTTTCGGCATCGGTTGTAGAATTCTTGAGATTTCAAGTTCATTAGGTTTGGATTGGAGGGTGATTCGTGGTTCTAGCGTTGTTTGATGTGATTTGACGGTTCGTCTGAGTTTGTATGATGTTTTAGGATTGGTTGGTATGTTTGGTTGAGGTCCGGGGGCCTCGGGTGAGTTTAGGATGCTTAACGGAAGTTGAATTTGGACTTAGGCTAATTCTGAAGTTTGCTGCTTCTGGTATTTTCGCACCTGCGGTGAGGAGCCCGCAGGTGCGGCCCGCAGAAGCGAGGAAAGAGGTCGCAAGTGCAGTTTGGGGCACGAAGGCCAATGACCGCAGATGCGGCACAAGGACCACAGAAGCGGGCCGCATATGCGGAGAAGGGAGTGCAGGTGCGGTGCCTAGGGAGTTAATGAAATTCCGCAGATGTGGAGCCCAAGCAGCAGGTGCGGGACCATGAATCGCAGATACGAAAATCGCTGGGCAGATATAGAAAATTTGAGGGTTTGTAAATTCATAACACAAAAATCGAATTGGAGCTCGGTGGGAGACGATTTTTTGAGGGGTTTTGAAGGAGAATCATTGGGTAACGAATTCTAACTCGATTTGGATCATAATACTATAAATTATTGTTGTTTTCCTTTTCTAATTAAGGAAATTGAGGGCAAAATCTTGAAAATGGGAGAAAAGTTCCCCAATTTAAAATTCGAGTTTTGAGTGAGATTTTGGCGTCGGATTTTGGTAATTTTAGTTCAAGTGTGCTCGTGAGTGAAAGGGTGTTCATAATCCATAATTTTCACCCGATTCCGAGACGTGGGCCCGGGGAGGATTTTTGGACGCTTTTCTATTTTCTTACCTTAGCTTCCTTTAGCTAAATTCGTTGTTTGTAGTTATATTTACATTATGAAATTTATTTGATTAGATTTGGGCCACTCGGAGTTGGATACTCGTGGCAAGAGCGTGATTTCGAATTGATTTTGAGCTGGTTCGAGGTAAGTGGCTTGCCTAACCTTGTGTGGGAGAACTCCTCTTAGGATTTTGGTACTGTTGTTATATGAGTGCCGTGTACGTGAGGTTACGAGTGCGTACACGTGCTAATTATTGAAAAACCCCGTTTTCATTAAGTAAATATCTGTGTTTCCTTTTTGTTGAACACTACTTGTATTTAAAGCCTACTGTTTAGCTTAGGAAAGCATGCTTAAGTGACTTAATTGTTCTATCTGCTTAAACTGTTTACTTGAAATTCTGTGCAGCATGTTTAGAATAGAAATCTCTGCTTTCTTGGTACGAACTTGGATAGAACTGTAGATTCTTTCTTGAGACTGTTGTGTTTTTACTTTGGGACTACGGGACGATATCCCGGGAGATCCCCCTGCATGTTTACTTTGGGACTACGGATCGGTATTTTGGGAGATCCCCCTGCGCATTTATAATTGGGACTACGAGACGAGATCCCTGGGAGATCCCCTGTACTGGATATTTACTTTGGGACTACGGATTTGTATTCCGGGAGATTCTCCTACATATTTATGAGTAGGACTACGGGACGATATCCCTGGAGATCCTCTGCACATTTACGTTTGGGACTACGGGACGATATCCTGGGAGATCCCCTATTGCTATCTCTGTGTACTGAGTTATATTTCTGTGATTTTATTCATTATTGACTGTTAGTATTTTAACTAGACTGTCGCATTATATATATATATATATATATATATATATATATATATATATATAAACCAGTATGGCCCTGACCTTTCCTCGTCACTACTCGACCGAGGTTAGGCTTGGCACTTACTTGGTACTGCTGTGGTGTACTCATGCCCTTTCCTGCACATGTTTTTTGTGTGCAGATCCAGGTTCTTCTGCTCAGCCGTTCTATCAGTGCGGCGGGCGATATCAGAGACTTCGAGGTATATCTGCCACGTCCGCAAACCTAGAAGTCCCTCTCTATTCTCCCCTTTAGCTTTAGACTTCCTGTATTTACTTTTGATTAGACATTCTGGAGCTAAAATACTGTGTAGTTTTCTATTGCTTGTGATTTCATGAGATTCCGGGTTTTGGGAGTTTGATTTAGTTTTGAGAGTGTATATTGTATATGGTGAGCGGCATTTTAAACTCTTTTATTATGTTTTACCCGCAACTTGCCAGTTTCGTATTTCATTTCCTTTTTCCGCAATTTTAGGCTTTCGTTGTCATAGAGACTAGGTGCCGTCACGACAGTTCACGGAGGGAGAACTTGGGTCGTGACAAATTTAGAAAATATTATCAACCTAAGTATTTGTGATATGAATAACTACTAAATTATCTTTGTAGTTATTGAAATTAATCATTTATTTATCTGTTAACCCTAAAAAAATATCTGAAAAGATATCAAACACAAAAATACGAGTAAGAAACAAATATATAAAATAATAAACTAACATATAAAATAAGAAACAAAGATAGAAAGTAATAAACCAACATATACAATATTAAACTAACATATAAAATAATAAACTAACATTTAAAATAAGAAACAAACATATAATAAGCTAACATATAAAATAATAAACTAACATATAAGAAAATAAATTAACATATAAAATAATAATATAGAAAATGTATTATCGTAAGTAATAATATAGTAAAAATATTGATAAATATTAATATAAAAGATATTGCAATATATGTAATGATGTTAAGTAATTAAAAAGAAATATACTTTAATTAATATTTTTCAATTTACAGACATCGTCATGGAGGTTTCCCTGTGCATCCGGACCTGCATCTCGAGAGCAACTATTGTTACAGGGCAACCATAGGTCTTCATACATCTGGGATGGGCAGTGTCTGTCCCAGACATTCCGCCCCAAATGTATAGACGATATGTTGTTAGTTCATTAGGGACCACCCACTCCATCCCTGTATAGTTAGACGCCTTCAGGATACGGGTTTCTACAAGATCATAGAGATTGGCCGGTTGCAGTTCGACTGGGCATGGATCACGGCTATGATAGTGGGTGGCGACCGGAGACGCACATATTTCATCTATCCATCGGCAAGGCTACCATCACGCTTGAGGACATGGAGGTTCTTTTCGGGTTGCCTGTTGATGGCTTACCTGTAGCTTACCCGCATGCTCTTAGAGACTATAGGGGATTGCATTACTTGCATATGTTGCAGCGGCTCACCGGTTTCCAGCCAGTGGAGGAGACAGCATTGAGTAGGGCCAGTCGATTGCAACTGACGCCCGTCCGGCATCATTTGGAGATGATGGATGCGGAGATTATGGATGATTCACCGTCGAAGGATATAGACCGGCACACGAGATTGTTGTTGCTGCTAATGTTTAGTGGTGTACTGTTCCCGAACACTTCGGGAAACCTGATCAGTTTGAGATTTCTACATCATCTTGAGCGGCTAGATAATTTACCTGGTTACAGCTGGAGTGCAGTTGTTATAGATTACCTGTAAAGCCAGATGTACCGGGCGTGCATGGGCACCTAGAGAGACGTTGCCGGATTTTTACCTCTGCCGCAGGTGAAAACATAGTCAATTCTTTTTATGATTATAACATACATAGTAAAAAAAAATACCTTAAATTTTACGTCCACAATCTATATTAGGTTTGGGCCTAGGAGCAGTTCCTCCAGTTCCAGCCACCTCTATCGTCGATCACTCCGGATGCACCACCTCCACCGTTTCTCCCTTTAGCTTGGAGGTGGGTTGATAGGCGAGGCTACGGATGTGAGGTCGAGGCTCGACATCATCTCCCCTATTACAGGGATTTGTTAGATTTTCTTGAAGGTGCGCAGGTACATGTATACTTAAGTTCACTTAACCTGGCTTTATATGTATTTCGTTTACTCACAATTCTTGTGTTTAATAAATAGTTCATATGGAGGCCATACAGCGACGCGCCCATAGCTCGTTTGCCCAATTATTGCTCCCGCGGCCGAGCTATGTGGAGCTCTTCTGTCCCACGGATATGTCTCAATATATTCGAGCATCATGCCATCGATCTAGTCCTTCGCCAGTTTGGTCGACCGTAGCTTGTACCTATTCCGCCCACTTGGATCAGGATACATTACAAGTGGGATGATCGTTGCAAGATTGACCAGACATATTTGGCCTGGCTAGAGGCCCAGATTAAGGCTTGGGACCAGAGTATGACCTGATTCCGCCACACCCTCCACCGGAGCATACGGATGGCGAGCATGAGTATATGGGTTGGTATCGTAGTGTTACCTGACTTCTCGTTGGGAATCTCGTTCATTGTGCTGGTGGTCGGTACATTCCATACGCCGGGAGTTATGAGGCACTAGTATGTTATTTGTTATACTTACGTATAACGTTACATTATCCTTCCGTATTTAATATTTTACATGTTATGCAGGCTATTGGCTTACATCAGTTCTACCATTTGGGACTGCGGATACTGCAGCATACCGGCGAGGGAGCGGCAGCTTTGCACATGTTTGGCCATCGAGTTACTGATCTTGCTGCCGAGACATTGAGACGTGCCCGAGATGATGAGCGCTTAGGATACGAGGCTGCATATGTGCCTCCAGAGGAGTACCATCATGGGCCACCAGTGGAGCCTGAATGTGGTAGAGGGGGCAGGCGTGTCTAGAGAGGAAGGAGTGTCCCACGAGGTCGTGGTGGTCGGCGAGGACGAGGTCCCCAGCAACGGGGCGTTGAGGCACTCGTGAAGGATATTAGAGATGATTAGCGGGTGAACACCCTGAGCCACATGATGCTCCTCATGATATGCCGTCATTTAGCCTTCAGGTATCGCCAGGGACTTCGCAGGTGACCCCGTCAGCTCCATTGTTGATCGCGGGCATGTCCACTATGCGACTGGAGTGGGATCAATATTTTCCTGATCCCCCAGAGCCATCGACGATTGCTGATGATCGTTCGACACGAGAGGTGCATAGTGGGCGATGACTGAGTTATGGCTCATCATCCAGGGATGTTGAGGATCTTTCATATACTTCATCTACTCCAGTGCACCTCGATGTTCCGACAGAGCATTGTGGTGCTACTCAGGCGGAGGTTTGTTTGTATTACTATTATTTCTATTTGGTTTTATCTTATTGATTAGTCAGTATTATCTAAAGCATTTTTTTTAAAGACATCGTCATCGCCCGTCACGGAGGCCACATTATGCGATACTGACATGCCGGAGACAGATGCTCCTATGCAGGAGCCCGATGAGACCATGGTATGACCATTAAAAAATTTTTGCTAACACGTACGTTAGAAATTTATATTTCATATAATAAACTATCTTTTTATTCTGTAGGATACTGCTGGATCACCGGCCGCTTCTACCGAGTCTGCCAGCCTTACCGTTGATCATGCTGCAGCGCATCCTCCGGTAAAGAGGCGACGTGATGAGGATGATCCTGATAGCGTAGACGGACGGGATGGGATGCGCCTCAGGCCAGCCAATGCTTTAAAGCATACAGGCTGTGGAACACATTGCCATTTATTATTATTTGTATATATGACAATAAATATATAATAGCAACATTATTTATATTTTACATAATTAGCGCATGTGTTTTATTTCTGATATTGTTTATTAGTTTAACGCTAGAATACAAAAAATAAAACGATAGCTTAACATAACATTTAAATCTGTTACCAGTTAAAGATAATACATGACACGTACAACATAAAAATAAAATAGTACACTCAACGCATCCATGTGTTTGTTTAGTTACTATCGCCCATTATTCTGTGTTTCAACCGCTTAAATTTCTCTTCCAATCTATTTTTTTTTCTTCTCCTTCCTCTTTTAGTTTCTCCTTCACTGCCGCAAGTTGTTCTTGTAATTTAACGATCTGGAGTTCGTATTCACCGGTCAGATTCCGAATGTTTAGCAAACATGATTTATAGTATTCCTGATTAATGGATTCATCATACCATTCTTCAAAACCACATTGATTTTTGTCCTACCAATGGGAGAATAACATGACGATTAACTAACATGGTATATAAAAAGTATTAACAAATATTTTTTTTGTGACGACCCGGCCAGTCGTCTCATGAATTACCGCTCCGTTTCTCCCATTTCTGCTTCTTTATGCTTTGTTATCCGTGTTTTGTGGTATCGGGTTGGTCAGATTGGATTCGGATTGGTTTTGGTGAAGTTTGAGACTCTTAGTCTCTTTTAAGGAAGTTTAAGTTGGAAAAGTCAACCGGATGTTGACTTATGTGTTAGAGGGTTCGAATGTGAGTTGCGATGGTTCGGTTAGCTTCGGGAGGTGATTTATGACTTAGGAGTGTGATCGGAATAGGTTTTGGAGGTCCGGAATAGATTTAGGCTTGAATTGGCGAAGTTGATATTTTGGCGATTTCCGGTTGGTAGACGAGATTTTGGTATAAGGGTCGGAATGGAATTCCGAGAGTTTCAGTAGCTTCGTTATGTGATTGGGGATGTGTGTGCAAAATTTCAGGTCATTCGGACGTGTTTTGGTTGGGTTTTTTATCAAAAGCGGAATTCAGAAGGTTTTAGAAACTAAGGCTTGAATCCGAAGTGTTTTGGTTGATTTAGTGTTGTTTGAAGTGTTTGGATGATTGGAGCAAGTTTGAATAAGGTATTAGAATATGTTTGTGCTTTTGGTTGAGGTCCCGGGGGCCTCGGGGTGATTTTGGAATGATTTCGCAGAGGTTGGAATTTTGTTGCAGCAGCTGATATCGCTGCTTCTGGTATTTCCGCATCTACGGATCGGGGACCGCAGATGCGACGCCGCATGTGCGGAGTCTTGGTCGCAGAAGCGAAAGCTGGTGAGGTTGGCAGGAACCGCAGAAGCGGTTGTGGGACCGCATCTGCGAAGGCGCAGATGTGGCTACTTCATCGCAGGTGCAGATTGGGCAGTTAAGTGAAGAACCGCGAAGCGGCTCTTGGACCGCAAAAGTGGCACCGCAGATACGGTGGATTGACCGCAGATGCGAAAATGCCTGGGTCAGAATGCATATATTTCCCTTTCGCGATTTTGAGAGGGTTTTCACCATATTTCATGCGGGAGAAAGCTTGGGAGAGCTAATTGAAGAGGGAATTCAAGAGGATTTCATGGAGGTAAGATTTTTGGACCCTAAACTTGTTTCTATGATGAATTTTAACATTTTTAAGCTTGAAATCCATGGAAAATCAGTAGCAAAAATGGGTAATTAGGGCTTGAGATCTAAGAGACCTTTGAGTGAGGATTTGAGGGGCCATTTGAGGTCCGATTTTGATGATCTTGATATGTATGAATTCGTATGAGGATGAGGATTCTATTGATGTGAAAATTTCTGAGTTTCGAGAAGTGGGACCGGGGCTCGGGTTTTGCTAATTTCGGGTTTAGTGCCCGTTATTGATTGTTTTCGCTTGGGCTTTGTTCCCTTGGCATATTTTGATATCCTCGTTCTAATTTTGGATAGATTCGATGCACGTGGAGGCCAATTCGAGGGGCAAAGGCGTCGCGAGCTAGATTTGGACCGGATCAAGGTGAGTAATGGTTGTAAATGATGTTCTGAGGGTTTGAAACCCCGGATTGCACATCGCAGTGCTATATTGAGGTGAGGCACACGCTTAATGACGAGCGTGGGGTCGTGCACTATTGGGGATTGTGACTTGGTCCGTCCCGATTTATGATTTTACCGCGTATTTGATTGAAATCCATATGCTATCATCATTATTTGGGCTGAATGCCATATTTGGGCTCCGTGCCAACTATTTGAACCCTTTGGGGATTGTTGTTGATGTTTCCTCACTGTTTTGACTTTATACTTGAACTTAGTCATGTTATTTCCACTGGTTCCAAAACTCAGCCATGTTTACTCTGTTTTAATACTCAAATGATATTTAAATGATGTTTTGGGCTGAGAAATACTGTATTACTGTTGCCCGAGAGGCTTATGTGAATTTTGACCGAGTAAGGCCGAGGGCCTGTGTTGTGAGGATATCTTTTGGGTCGGGCTGCACGCCGCAGCAGTGATACATTGATTTGATTATGAGGCTGAGGGCCTGAGATTGTACGCCACGAGGTGGCTTGATATTGAGATGAGGTCGAGGACCTGTTTATGATGCCACGAGATGGCTTGATATTACGCTTGGGCCATAAGGGGCCCCTCCAGGAGTCTGCACACCCCTAGTGAGCGCGGGTACCCAGTGTGATGTGAGATATAGCCCGAGGGGCTAGTATTGTTCGTTGTGATTGCCCGAGGGGCTGATACTGTTCTATGTGATTGTCCGAGGGGCTGGTACTATTCTGAGATATTGCCCAAGGGGCTGTCATTTACCTGCTTAATTGTGTATTTGTGCCCGAGGGGCGGATTTCCGTGCTTATCTTCACTAGTTGTTCTGCATTCATTTGTGCAACTGTTGAAAAAGTCATTTTCAAAGAAGTTTAAACTGAGCTAAGATGTTTTAAAGGATTTTACAGCTTCATTGCTTTCTTACTGGTTTTGAAACTGCTTCT